CCTGGACATAGTCTGCAGCTTCTTTCTTTTTTTTTGTTTTTTTTTTTTTTTTTTTTTGAGACAGGGTCTTGCTAAAGAAGTTGCTAAATTGCCCAGGCTAAACTCAAACCTACAATCCTCCTGCCTCAGCCTCCCAGAGATCTGGGATTACAAGGGTGCACCTCCATGCTTGACTTTATTTTCTTAATAACAGCTCACAGATAAGTGCTCTACCTGAACAATACACCACCATGGCCCTTAAGACAGATACTCTTATCATTCTGACTTTATAAATAATGAAAATGAGGCAACCCATTTGGGACCCCTGCTGTCTCTCAGGAGCTATCCTATTCTCCATTCCATTTTTCCAATAAATTTTTGTACTCTTAGCCTCCATTGTTCCTTAGAATTCATTCTTCAACTTCAGGGGACACAAACTTGTCATATCTGACATCTAGAATGTCTCCTCTGTCATCCTGGAGGTCCCACCAAGATACTTAGAAGGAGAGGCTGCCAGATTCCAAGTGATCATGCATGCAGGTGGAACCAACAGCAAATGTACTGGACTCCTTTTCTGGGATCTACCAGATCGACCTGTAAAGAGCTCATAACGCTAAACTACAACGTGACTTCTATCGGAGGCCCATTAGATGAGCTCTCTGGAGAAGACCCCTGACTGCAGTTTCCCCTACACTGACTCTTCTCAGCTTGAAGCAGCTGGATGGAAACTACACCCCTTCTCCCCTAGCTGCAGTTAGGGGTACCTCTTCAGAGAGGGGAGTACTATAGACAGCTAAGTTAGATAGAAGTATCGTAGGCAGCAGACAGGGCTGGGCCCTTGAGGGAGTCAATGCAGAAGACTAATCCATCAGGACTGCAGCTGGAGGCGCATCTGAAGATTACAGTCACAACGGTTAGATGGACATACTTCCCTAAGGGATGAATGGAGGCTTAGGATTATTGGTAGCACCCTTCTGAGATTTCCCATTATCTCATCGGGGTGGGCCATCCTCTCCCACTTACTAAGTCTAAACTAAGGCTAAGACTACTAAAATTGAAGACAAAACTAATACTACAGATTATCAACCAAAGTTAATGATATCATTCATATGCCCTCGCTACATTGGATCAATATTACTTAAGTGACCATATTTATAATCTTTTTTTTTTGTTTTTTTTTCCGGTACTGGGAATCAAACTCACGACCTTGCCAGGCAGGCGCTATGCTGCTGAGCTAAATCCCCTGGCCCCATATTTATAATCTTATTGGTTATATTTTGACCCATGTTGTACCCACCTCATGATTTTGTTCTATAAAACTTCCTTGGAGAGGTGGGCTCATTGGTAACCCATTCAGGATGCCTCCTGTCTCTTAGGAGCTATCGTATTCCCCATTCCTATTCCCATTCCTTTTCTCCAATAAAATTGCCTGCTCTTTTCTTTTCTCTTTTTTTTTTTTTGAGACAGGGTCTCACTATGCAGTTCATGCTGGCCTTGAGCTCACTTTGTAGCCTAGGCTGGTCTCAAACTTGCAATGATCCTCCTGCCTCAGCCTCCTGAGCGCTGGGATTACAAACATGCGCCACCACACCCGGCATACTCTTAAAACAAACAAAAAAGTGACAATATGACTTGGGCCAAATTACATGTCCAAATTACATGTCCCCACCCACACAGGAGTGGGGGTGGGGGCCTGGCACTGGAGCCCTTGCTGAGCCCACAGCCCTTCTTCTAGGTCACTGCCAGGACTGGAATCAGTATTCTGCGATCCACTAAAATGATTCAGGAAGATTCCACCCTTGTCTATGCTTTCAGAGGGCCTGAAGGACTTAGGAATTACTTGCTCCTTATGTTTGCCTTTCATCATAATCTCTTACATTTATGTTTGGTTTTCATCTCTTCTGAAGTTTCAGTTGATTATGTTTTCCTGGCAAGATCTTCAGTTCATCTAGATTTCCAAGTTTTCATGCATAAAACTGTAAGTGGTATTTTCCTATCACTTAACAACCATCTTTATTTGGGACTATATGCCCCTTCTTTTTCCTAAAGTTGTGCATGTTTTTTTTTTCTTGATTAGGATTGTCTATAGTAAAAAAAAAAAAGGATTGTCTATAGCTTTTTTATATTATTGGTCTTTTCTTAGATCTAGTTCTCACTTACGAGATTCATATCTAATACCAAAAACTATAGTGCAGTCATCAAAGAGCAGAACACAGACGTATGACAGATGACTCAATGCCTACTTCCTAGCTATGTGATGCTGGGAAATTCCTTCATCTCTCTGAACCTCAAGTTCGCTCCCCCTGTAAATGTATTGAACAGTTACCTGCCAGCACTATACTAAGAATTTTAAATATACTTATTTGCTTTATATTTTTAAATAATATGCATAAAGAACCTGATTTAATAACTGAGATAGGATGGGTCCTCGCTAAGTGACAGCTGCCATTGTTGTTTTTTTTTTTTTTTTTTTTTCCAGTACCAGGAATCAAACTCACGACCTCATGCTTGCCAGGCAGGCACTGTGCCACTGAGCTAAATCCCTAGCCCTGTTATTGTTGTTGTAAATTTCCAGATTAAACTTCTCACTGGCTTCTTCAGAGGGAACCCTCCACCCTCATCCTCTTGCCTATTTGTTCCTCTGGATATAGAAAGGAGCAGGATTCAGAAAAAAACTTCCTTCCATTCCCAGGAGGTAGGATGGTAGGTGAAATCTCCTAGGAAGGGGCTGGGGATATAGCTCAGTGGCACAGTGCCTGCCTGACAAGCGCAAGGTCACGAGTTTGATTCCCTGTACAAAAAAAAAAAAAAAAATTTTCCTAGGAAGGTCAGGTGTGGTGACATACCTGTAATCCCAGAACTCCAGGAGGCTGAGCCAAGAGCATTGAAAGTTTGAGCCCAGCCTAGGCAACTAACCAACTTAGTGAGACTTTGTCTCAAAAGAAAATATTTTAAAAGGGCTGGGGCTATAGCTCAGTGTGAAGGCCGTGGGTTTAATCCCTGTCCCACAAAAAAAAATAAAATAGGGCTGGGAGTATAGCTCTGTGGCATGGCACCTGCCTGGCAACTGCAAGGTCCTGAGTTTGATTCCTGGCACCAAAAAATTAAAAATTAATAAATAAAAACATGAAATAAGGCCTTTTCTGAGTCAAGCATGGTAACATGCACCTGTAGTCCCAGCTACTTGGGAAGCTGAGGCAGGAGGATCACTTGGGCCAAGAAGTTTGAGGCAAGCCTGGGGACCATAATAAGGGCCCCTCATCTCCAAAACAATAAAACATAAACAAGACAAACAAACCACCTTGCTAGGAAGACAAAGCATTTGCAATGTTTCTAGCACCAGGTGAAGTCAAGCATGAGAAATGAGGATGTTCACATGTCAGAGAACTATGACCAAGACCAGGAGGCAGAGGCATGACTGATACTGCAATGTGTGAATGGCTGTGACGATAATCGGTGATGAAAGCACTGCTCCCCTGGCCTCCGCTCCCAGCTGCCTCCTGTCTGTCTCCCATCTCCAAACTTCTTGCCCATCCGCACAGGCACAGGAACATGCTAATCCTAACAAATTCAGCCATGTCATCTCTGGGTTAAAATGCCTGAGCAATCTTCCAGTATCCTTTCAGTGAAAACTCTGCAGATAAAGCCCGGCCTTCCTCTCCACCTGCCGTGGTACTGCACTGAACCGTGGTGAGTGACTCTCCCCTCTGCTTCTTGGCTGTGTCCTTCCTTCTGCTCAGAAACCAGCCCTGCCCCTCCTTTGCCCGACTCCTCCTTGCAGGTTTTGCAGGTTTCAGCTTAGATGTCATTTCCTCCAAGAAGCATTCTAGGGTTCTCCCAGACCTAGTTGGGCTCTACAGGGCCCCATCCTTACCTTTGTCCCTAGATGTAAGCTTGTGGACAAGGCTCGTGGTTCCTCCCACCAAATGTCTAACATGCCACAGGTGCTCAGGAAACATGTGTTGAGTGGAGAAATTAACATACAGGTACTTTCTACAACACCGCAGTGCCCTTCTTCATTTATCCACATGTCTCCTCTGTCAGACATAGACTTCTTGAAGGCAGGAAGGTCTCACTCAACTGTATGTGTCTGGTGCCCAGCACTGTGCTGACACAGGGGTTACCCATAAATGTTTGTGTAATGTTGGGATGAATGCGTGAATGATTGACGGGTGAATGAGTGATTGGATGGATGGATGGATGGATGGATGGATGGATGGATGGATGGATGGATGGAAAAATGGATGGGTGGATGGATGGACAAATGGATGGGTGGATGGTTAAACTTGTGAATTGGATGGAAGTTGTGATCCATTCATGCAACTGGTATTTCCTTCAACACATATCTTTGGGGATCAAGTATTACTCCCTGGAAAAACTAAAGGACCCAAGCAGCTCAGCAATAGCCACAAATCCCAGCAGTCAGTCCCCGACTTCTCATGAAACAGCCACCATCACCAGCTGCAATGCCCAGGCCCTGCAAATCCATCCTCAATTTCCACCCCCTTATACACACCTGGTCCTTGGGCTCTTGGCTGACCAACCAGAAGAGGAGAAGGTTGTTACAGGTGACGTTCACTTCTGGGAGGGTTTCCAAGTAACTCTTCAGGGTCGTGGTCCCCTTGCACTGAGGTGGGGGCTGCCTCATGGATGATGGGGCATTGGGCATCCAGGCCCCAAAGTCATGCTGTAGAGACCCCGCCCCATGTGGATCAAATGGCCACCTGGAGGCAAGGACCAGCTCCCTCTTCATCATTCCTGGTCCCACCTCTCCTATATCAAGTCTCACAGTTGGGAAACGAGGGAGTCATGGAAAGTCCCAGATGGGTCAGGGGCCCAGCTCACCCCTTGTCACTCCCCACCCAATCAATATTCCAGGATTGGGTGGAGTGAGTCACCAGGGAGGGAGGAGTGCCCAGACAGGAGGTAATCCTAGAAAAGGGCCTTGGGCTGGCATGCCATACAGAACAACCTGATTGTCCACCTGACCCGGTACTAACCAAGATGGGAGCCCACAGATTCTACTCACAGTGTAACTCCAATTTGAGTTGCCATTACAACCTTGGACCCAGCTCCACCCAGCCATCACTCAGCAGGAGCCATTCACTCCACCCAGGCACCATTCCAACCCTAACCCGGACCCACCCATGCTTTCAACCAGAATTCTGGCCTCAAATCCATTGCTAAGCCTAACGCCTTCATGACCCGATACCCCTTGGGCTTCCCTCTGCAGACTTACCTGCCCACTGTTAACAGCGGCGTGCTGGGCGGAGCAGTTGAAGATGATTGCAGTAAGGTACTTCACCAGCTGTCCCGAGGTGCACAGCCGGCTTGGGAATCCTGGGTGTGGGGAAGAGGAGGGTGTGGAGGGGAGGTACTGAATTCCTAGGGGCACCTCAGGGTGCGGCTCACTGCAGGGGGCAGAGTGAGGGAGTAAGAGCTGGACATTGGCTACGACTGTCTTTAAGATTAGGGTTGGGATGAAGTTAGGAGTAGCCAGCGCTGAGGGCTGTGGGCTCTGACCAGGGTCTAAGAGGTGGATCCTGCAAAAGGATCAGCCAGGACTAGGATGGAGCCAGGCTTGGGCCAAGCAGCAAGCTGCCTCTGCCTGAACTCCAAGGCACGTTTATCTGCAGCCCATATTAGCATTTAATGATTTAACTCTACTCAGTTTACCAAGATCTGTCCAAGCAACCAGTAGCAGGTTATCCTTGGCTGGGCTTAGCGGGAGAGACAGAGTGTGTTACTCAAAAGCACAAGGAAACGGAATCAGAAAGAAGCATCAGTGCCATAGAAGTGCTCGGCTTTTAGAAGGGAGAGCAGGTAGGACAGAAACTGGCACTGGGGCTACAGTGGTCAGAAGGACTCTTCCTAGAGGAAGAGAAGGGGCCTCCCCAAGCTGAGGGATGGGTGACATTGGAATAAAAACCAGATGACAAAAGCCAGGCACAGTGGCATACGCCTGTAGTTCCAGTTACCTGGAAAGCTGAGCCCAGAGTATCAGTTGAGCCCAGGAGTTTAAGGGCAGCCTGAGCAACAGACAACACCCCATCTCAAAAAATAAATGAAATAAAATTTTTCAAAATTAAAAAGAATATAAAACCAGATGTGGGGGCTGGGGATTTAGCTCAGCAGCACAGCGCCTGCCTGGCAAGCACAAGGTCATGAGTTCGATTCCCGGTACCAGAAATAAAAACAAAACCAAAATCAGAAGTGGTGGTGCGGGCCTGTAATCTCAGCATTTGGAAGGCGGAGGCAGGGGGATCACCATGAGTTTCAGGCCAGGATAGGCTGTAGAGTGAGTTCAAGGTCAGCCTTAACTACATAGCAAGACCTTGTCTCAAAATAAAATTAAATTAAATTTTAAAGAAAAGAAAAACATTGTCGGGGGTGGAGGGAGAAGAGCTCAGCCCTCATGCTTGCTGTGCCTGTACTGCACGGGCTTCATCCACGTCCCTGGCTTTACCCGCCTCCTTCTCACTGCTAACCCCAAACTCACATCCTCAGCTGTACCTGGCCCCTGAGCCCAAGACTCAGCAATGTGCATAATCTGCGGCTGCCTACCTGCTGCTCTCACCTGCGTGTCCCCAAGACATCTCAAACCTGGCACTGCAAAACCAAAGGCTTCACTCCTACCCCACCCTCCCCAACCTTGCAGTGGTTCCACTTTGGTACAGTGACCCTCCATACCTACAGGTTCCTCATCTATGGGTTCAGTCAACCTCAGATCATAACATTTGGGAAATATTAAATATTTGCTGGGAAACGATGTCTGTACTAAACATGGATTCACTTTTTTTCTTGTCACTATTTCCTAAACTATACAGTATGACAACTATTTCCAAAGTATTCACATCGTGTTTGGTATTAGAAGTAGTCTAAAAATGATTTAGAGTATGTGGGGAGCCGTGCAGAGGTTTTCTGCAAATACTACACCATTTCACAAAAGGGACCTGAGCATCTGAAGATTTTGGTGTCTGTGGGGATCTTGAAACTAGTCCCCGGTGGATACCAATGGGCAACCATACTCATCGTCATCCAGTTGCTCAGACCAAAGGTATATATTTTATCACCCTCTGTGCACATGAACAGAGACTTCCAGAAGCTAGGCTATCCTCACCATCTCCACCTCCACTCTACCCAGGCACCACCGTCTCTCTCCTGAATGAATCCTGCTACTTCCACCCTTGTCCCTTATAACCTCATCCCTTAACAGCAACAGTGGTCCTTTAAAATCATAAATCAGGGGGCTGGGGATATAGCTCAGTGGCACAAGTGCTTGCCTAGCAAGTGCAAGGTCCTGAGTTTGATTCCCAGTACAAAAAATAAATAAATAAATAAAATCATAAATCAGGGGTTGGGGGTGTAGTCCAGTGGTAGTGTGCTTGGCTAGCATGCACAAGGGCCTGGGTTAGATCTCCGGCACCGAGGGAAACAATGATAAATCAGATGACATCACTCTTCACTAGGACCTACTAAGGGCCTCCTCTCTCATTTACCTTACCATGCCCTACTTGATCTGGCTCTGGCCCCTTCTCAATTCCATCCTAAGTTTCCTTCCTTCCACTTGTTCCACTCAAACCCCATAGGTCTTCCTGATATTCCTCAAACACACCAGTGCTCCCAGACCCGAGGCCCTTTGCACTTACTGCACTTCTGACCCCACGTTCTTATCCCAGTTACTCACAGAACCAGCTCCTTTCCTTCCTTCAGCTCTCTGTCCAGGTCTCAGCTGCTCAGAGAGGCCTTCCTGAGCCACCTCTCTGAAATAACCCCTCTCATGCTGTTTTATCTTCCTAGCATTCTCAACCACTTGACATTTGTTTGATTGTCTGTGTCGCTCTGAAAGAAGGTGAGGCTTATATGAAGGCCGGGATTTTTGTCTGTTTGTTCACTGTGAAATCATAGCATCTAGACCAGCACTTAATAAATATGAAGAAAGCAGTAATTATTGGTTGAGTGAAGCAAATGCATGCAAGGGTAAGCAGCCAGAGTGGGAAGGCATGGGGGATAGACAAGCTGAGGGCACAGAAAGGGGACCTAATTGAAGGTGAGGCTGCAGCAGTGTGCTGGGGCATGTCATTTCTGGGCAGCCCTTATGGTCTGGTGAGGTAACAGCCAGAGGCTGGGAGAGAGGAGCGGCCTGAGAAGCGGCTGCCATAATCAGGATCACTAGGGTGGTGATAATGGGGTGACTGGAACAGTAGGAATTCACCACCCAGCCAGATTTAGGAAGACAGAGGTAGGAATAGGAGTCAAAGAGGGCGCCAAGGTTTGGAGTACAGGGGTGGGGACATAGCTGAGCAGAGAGAGGCTGGAGGAAGAAGGAGGCATCTGCCTGGGAGTGAACAGGAATTTTCTGAATGTTCTGTTTATGGTCACCTGTCTAAACTTGGAGGCTGAGAATAATAAAGCAAACCAGGGGTCAGACTATGGGAATTTTTCTGCAATTCAAGTTATTACTTCCTCTTAGGAAATGGAAGTCAAAGTGAGACTGACAGGTTAATAAATATGTTTTACCTTTAAATATATGAATCCAAAGTAAGTTTGTACTAGTGGGAAGAACTGTTGTCGGTCTGAAGAGGTTCTGCTATATGAAAGCAGAGATAAACTGAATACAGTAAGATAGGAGAAAGCTGGGCATGGAGGTGCACACCAGCAATCCCAACTCTAGGAGAGGCCGAGATAGGAGGCTGGGAAGTTCCAGGCCAGCCTGGGCAACCTAGAGAGAAAGGCTTTATCTCAAAAGTTATATATATATATATATATATATATATATATATATATATATGGCTGGGGGCGAGGGTGCAGCTCAGTGCTTGCTGGGTTCAATCCCCAGTGCTACAAAAACAAAAGGGCTAGGGATATAGCTCAGTGGCACAGCGCCTGCCTGGCAAGTACATGGTCCTGAGTTTGATTCCTGGTACAAAAACAGAAACAGGAGAGTTGAACCAATAGCATTAGGTCCCAGTCTTGGTCTTAAATAGGAAACAAAGTCCTCAGTCAGGAGAAGCAGTCAGGATCAGGACTGTTGACTAACAATGAGTTTGCAAAGCATAAGGAAAGGTTACCCTTAAAAAATCCAAGAGAGATCTGGCTGATAACACTTTAACCTAGAAATCACTCTTGGAATCTCAATCACTGAGACAACCTGACCTCATGTGCTTCCCAGATGAATCAACACAGAAGGCAGAGCATCACCTGTGAAATATTTTTGGCAAAAATATGCAACCCTTAGACACTCCTTCTGCTTTACAAAAAACACAGGAGACAGAGGAACAAGATGAATGACACCATAAGGAAGGATTCAGATAAATTCAGGTGAGACATTCTGCAGAAAACTAGTCCAAGGCTCTTCCATAAGTCTTTGTCATGTGATTTTAAAAAGCACAGGAAGGGAGTGAGGAGGGAGGAAGAGAAGGGGATGGGGGAAAAAAGATTTTTTAAAAACCAGGAAAATAAAGCTTTTGCATATGGGAAGGGGGACTAAGAGTTGGAAGGAGGAGGGCGGGCTAGAGGACCAAAAATAATAATAATAATAATTATTAGGACATATTACGTATTGTGTACCACTCCCCATGATAAAGGTAATCATTATGTACTACAAACATATACTAATAAAAATAAATTTTTAAGAATAAAGCAGAAGTTGGGGCTGGGGATTTAGCTCAGCAGCAAAGCGCCTGCCTGGCAAGCACAAGGTCGTGAGTTC